TGTGTGTATGTATGTATGTATGTATGTATGTATGTATGTATGTATGTATGTATGTGTGTGTGTGTGTGTGTGTGTGTGTGTGTGTGGATGGATGGATGGATGGATGGATGGATGGATGGATGGATGGATGGATGGATGGATGGATGGATGGATGGATGGATGGATGGATGGATGGATGTATGTATGTATGTATGTATGTATGTATGTATGTATGTATGTATGTATGTATGTATGTATGTATGTATGTATGTATGTAGAGGGGGGCAGGGGGGGGGGGGGTCGATTTTACAGTTGTAACAACATTCTGTCCAACAAGCATTCTTTAATATCTATAGCAGATCATTTCTTTTAAGTCAAACGGTATCAGAAGTTTAACTTTGCCGCAGACCTCATTCCCAAATTTATGTTTCCATGCCTACTGTCGCGAAGGACACAGCGGCGTCTGGTGTAAAACCTTACCAGGAGAGTAAAGAATAGAAACGAAAGTAAATTTTATTAGCCAGGAGGGTATAAATATCAGCCAGTCTTTGGAAAAGGGGAGTAACGGTTTTATTTGTCGCGCCCTGAGTGTGTGAGTCTCATTTATTTGTGCATGTATTAGTTTCAATTCATATTTATTTATTTATTTATTTGAAATTTGAACTGCAGAAAAAAAGCATTGGTACATGTGTTAGCTTAGAGTCTTCGCGCTCATCATCATCATCATCATCATCATCGTCATCATCACATAGCTGGTACTTTGAAGAACGTCGCTCTCATCAAAGTCTACCTGAAAGAAACTCGGTCTCCCGCCAGTTCTCCCGCCTGGTATACTTTTATATTCAAGGAGTCATTTTATCCTATGCCTATCTTCGCGTTGGACTACTCCTGCCTCTCCTTCTACTATTATCCTTTACAGTCTGTTATGGCGCTTGATATGACATTTTTTTATGCTTCCGAGACAAGATGCTGTTTATTGGTAAATCTTCCTTGATGTTCACATCTTCCTGCCGGCCATCTATAAACTGCACCGGGAAGCCCCTATTCGCGTTGTTTCAGTACTTAAGAGTTACGTGCTTGTTCATTTTTCAATTCTGGTTTATTTGCGTACAGACTGTTGGTAGTTACCTATGATGTTCTGCGATTGGAAGGAAACGACAGTCCTGTCTACGTTGGCCAGGCTCCAATTTGGGAACCTCTTTCTAGGACGACTGTAGATAGCTCTTACCCAGTTTAAGCCCTTGCCCAGCTTGTCGACCACTTGTGGCTCAGCTACAGCCCGATTTTAACTTGATGAGGTCCTAAGTTCTAAGTAGCCCTGAGTCCCTTTTCTCAGAAAACTTTACAATATAAGAGTAAGTTGCGTATCCTTTACAGGACGTTGCAGAACCAACCCAAGCATTTTTAGCTGTTGTGGTTTTACTAGACAAATTTTACGCTTAGTAGTTTGCCATTGCTTACTCAAGAGTCATCTGTCGGTACCACTGTCGAAACCAACGGAAGACAAATCACCCGCAGCTGGAATCGAACGCGTTTGCAAAGAAAGAATTATGTGAGATAGAGGTTATTCAATGCATTTCACAATCCCCGACGACATAGGGTTCACGACAGTGGTAAGAAAATCACAATGTGTAAGAGCTTGGGATCTCATCACGTGATATTATAAACCAAAGACAGCATTGGATATACATTTGCAACCAACTTCTTTTGCGGGGACGGTACCATTTTGTGTGTGTCTGCTCGTGCGCCTGTGTATTTGTGTATACGTACGTATATGTGTATGTATATATGCTTGCATATGTATATGCAAGTGCGTTTACATGTGTGTGAGTGTGTCTGTGTGTATGGGGGGGGGGGGGGGGAGGGGTAAGCAAACAATGTAAATCAGTGGTTCTCAGCCTCCAGAGAAGTGTCTGCAGGTAAATTATACATGATTGTTTTTCGTTATTGGTCATTTTATAATTTTTTTTATTCAGTTCGCTTTTTTACTATATTTGTATATGTCAGGGCAAAACATTGTGTTCTGTTTCTATACTATTTCCGGGTGAGCTATTGTGCTCAGATTTAGCACACATGCGCCTCTACATTTGCTAATGCAATACAGTGCAAGAAATGCTTTCTGTATTGCAATTGTGTCTGTCTGAGTGTGAACACAATACATGTCCAGAAAGTGAAAAAAAATATTTTCAAGAGAATAATTCACGAGTTCACTGCCAAAACATTGCGTTTGATATCTACACTGTTCCTCATAAGCTAACGAGCTCACATTCTGCTTAAACACACCTTGTAAATAACACAATATTCTGGACATATATTTTAACAAGTATATAGTAAAGCGTATTTCCTTCTTACCCTCATGGAACTCCGATTAAACTTGCTGGTGTAACTGTGTTGGTTATAACTTACTTTTAAGGTGAACAAGGTAAAACAGATTGCCCTGTTGAAATTTCCGGGTGTGAAATTTTCAAGAAGCAGTCTGGAGGAAGAAACAACAGTTGATTCTCATCCGTGAGATGTTCATCCTCTCCTCCAGACTGCGATTCGGAAGAAGAACTAACTTTATGTCTACTTATCTATCTATCAGTTTTGAATTTTGCGATACAGTACAAAAGCGGTCATTATAAGTAATTAAACGATTCAATGCGTTAAATGTTAATTATAGTGGGTGAAATTATTTAATTATGATAAAGCAAATGCTGATGATTTGATCTGAAGCTGTGTGATATCATATTCTCCAGTATACGTTGTTCAAGAAAGAGGAGTATAAGTATAATAGTCCGTAATTCTAGAAATATGATATCACGTTTAGTTTGAGAATGGAGGTGGAGGCAGGCACTGCTACATTCCGCTGGCTTGAGAATCAGCTGTACACACATGCCGTGATTGTAACTATCTCACAGAGCATGTTGAGAAAGGTGAAAACAGGCATGCTTAGTGCAGAGTGGCAAGCATCAATTCAGAGGTTCCGGGCAGTTAGCACCCTTTGGATATTTTCTTCATGCCGATGTGTTGGGAAATGAGCAGGAAGATAGACTACCTGGCTCTGCACCACTTGGTAGTGAATTGATGTATGACAAATTATATGTTGTGACGACCCTTTGGGAACGGGTGCACAGTGCACAGGTGCAGACAGATCATTTTGGTATAAGGAGAATGGGACTGTAAGGAGTTACCAGGGCCGACGCTCAACACCTAGGGGCAGAATGAGACGGATATACAATCGAACGGTTACAGGTACCATCGGAATTAGAACTATTCGTTTGCTACTGAAGATTGGAACTGATCACCTATGGAAGCGTCCCGGGGGCTGTGATGTCGATTCTTGATTCAAAAATCAGTCCCTTTTCCGTGTGTTTACTGCGTGCGTATTTTAACCGGTTTGTTCGTTTTCCTTTTTTTTCCCCATCGTCTTAATTATGCAATGTGTTTTTAATTAACAGTTTTTTTTCTTTTGTTTTTAAATTTGCATCTAGTTTTGTTTTAAATTTTTTGTGTGTTTCGCCGATGTTTGTTCAAGTGATTCAGTCACTTATCACACATAGCACAAAGAAAATATCCGCACAGAATGGGATTCCATTGCACCGACGAGGATCCAAATACGTGTTCAAGATTCACATATGAAATACATATTATTTTATGCGTACTTGTTTTTAATTTTTTAATTTTGCAAACAAGCTGCCACAGTTTTATGTCCAACCGTTAGAGGATGTTTACGCGAGCAACCTGCAGTCTGAATTTCGCCCTTATCAGAGCAGGCAAGGCGTCTGTTTCACTATTCTAAGTTCAGGTGGAAGCAAATCGAAAAAAAAAAAAATTATAAATAAACGAAAACAGAAGATTGTGGAAACAAACTATACCTAACGACACACAACACGGACTACAAGAAGTCGTACACATCTTTACTCACTCTCCGGGGTCTTATTTACCCGAGCGTGTTTGTGTCGTCTCATTATTCAGCAAGGGTCCTTATAGAAGATCGATCTCGTCAACACACACCTAGAAGTCTTTTTCTCTAGCCAGTTCTGCAGACCTAAGAATGCTTACCTAGCCACTATCTCTTCAGTATCTGGTATCCACATTCGCAGGGGTCTGCCTCTGCCTCCTTGCCCGTAAACTTTACACTCCAGCTTTCTCTCAACACCACCATCAATATTCAACATGGCCAAAATACTCAAGTTTTCAGACAGGATGCTGTTTATGAGCCAGTTTTTCTTTACGCTCAGATCACGTAGGATGTTTGTGGTTTTCATTTTCTTTGTTTATATGGCATTCCAAAGTATTTCAGTCCATGACTTACATCTATAAAAATGCATTATCTGAAAATTGTACTTGAACTCGCTTGCAAGTGCTGAGACAAAGGTTCTTCATGTCGTATTGTCTCTGCACTGATAAAAAAAGAGCCGTTTTTTTACCAGGAATATTATAAATCTGTGACATTTTCTATCTATTCATCTTGACTTTAACATACATTTAGGTAACATTTCTTCTTCTTCTTCTTCTTCTTCTTCTTCTTCTTCTTCTTCTTCTTCTTCTTCTTCTTCTTCTTCTTCTTCTTCTTCTTTTTCTTCTTCTTCTTCTTCTCTTCTTCTTCTTCTTCTTCTTCTTCTTCTTCTTCTTCTTCTTCTTCTTCTTCTTCTTCTTCTTCTTCTTCTTCTTCTTCTTCTTTCTTCTTCTTCTTCTTCTCTTCTTCTTCTTCTTCTTCTTCTTCTTCATCTTCTTCTTCTTCATTCTTCTTCTTCTTCTTCTTCTTCTTCTTCTTCTTCTTCTTCTTCTTCTTCTTCTTCTTCTTCTTCTTCTTCTTCTTCTTCTTCTTCTTCTCGTTCACTGGTTGTGAACTCCAGCGGAAATTTATGGTTGTTTCTCACCTCTGGACTTTATTCTTATTTCAAAACCTGAGTGTCGCGTGTACATCCGTTTAACAGATCTGACCTAATTGTATGCAGATTGTTTTATTTTTTTCCTCAGGCACCGAGACGCAGCTTTTTGGACGGATCAGCTTCACACTGCCGACATAACAAACAATGAAATCTGTGGCTTGCCCGTTTCTGACCAGATTCTCCATGTCCAACATCCGCCAGTTCGCTCCCTTGTTCTTGAACTACGTGGACAGATGCCCGGTGATGATGCAGACCTCTCGTCACCAGTCTAGTGGTGGTGGTGATCTAGGTATTGTTGGAGCTTTTCTTTCTTTCTGTCTTTCTGTCTTTGTCTTTTGTTTGTTCTTTTCTTTCTTTCTTTCTTTCTGTTTTCTTTCTTTCTGTTTGTTTTCTTTCTTTCTTTCTTTTTCTTTTCTTTCTTTCTTTTTCTTTTCTTTCTTTCTTTCTTTCTTTCTTTCTTTCTTTCTTTCTTTCTTTCTTTCTTTTTTTCTTTCTTTTCGTTTCTTCTTTCATTCATCATTTTCATTTTCTTTCTTTCTTTCTTTCTTTCTTTCTTTCTTTCTTTCTTTCTTTCTTTCTTTCTTTCTTTCTTTCTTTCTTTCTTTCTTTCTTTCTTTCTTTCTGAGTTTATTTCTGCCTTTCTGTCTGTCTTTCTTTCTTTATCTCATCTGCCTCTTCCACCTTTGATTGTTTTATACTGCAAAGATAACAATAGTTTGTTAGTGTTGATTTTCAATGCTGATTTATCAAAGCCTCCCAATATCCTTTTGCTGACACGGAAGCGGAAGTTGGTAAATGTCCTTTCCTGAACGAGACTGACGTCACCCTGAAGAAAACCAGCACTGCCGTAGAAGAGGACGCTATCGGCCATGAGCAGCTGATCAGTCTCCAGCCCAGACCTGGTCAGCAGGTGGACAGAGGTCAGTAGATAAGTTGTTGGCACATTTCATTTTTTTTCCAGACGTTAGTGTTACAGTGTACCACGAAGAGGCATGGGACTTACAGTCCATGGCGTTGGCGAGAGCGACTAGCAAGATCTTCCACAATGAAAGCAGGAAATTTCAGGATCATTGTTGTCAACATTTGTGTTTAGTGTGTTTGTTCCCAGACGCTCAGCTCTCGTCCTTCCCAAAAGTATCTTATCTTCATTCTCATTCTCTTCTTAGGCTGAACCCCCTCCGCCACACCCCCCCCCTGCTCCTTCCGAACCCCCTCCCCCACACACACACACTCACACACTCAGTCATACACCAGGTTCCATGGCATTTTGTTTGAATGAATCCACCTCAATACCTGAACATTCATATCATGTTTGCATACATCTTTCTATAATTACAGAGGTTAACCTCGACATCTTCTACCCATCACCTGCATTCACCATAGAGGATGTCCTTAGATTGAGCATTGAGAAAACTTGTTGAAATACTTGCTCTTTCCAATACTTCATGTTTGGTGATCTTGTCTTGCCACATAATGTCAAGTATTCTTCTCATGCATCGCACGTGGAAGCTATTTGGCCGTCTCTCCTGGTGCGAATTAGGTGACCATATTTCACTGCCATAAAGCACTGAGAACACAAGCCTATGGATACGATTTTATTTTAATCTTGAGCTTTTTATTCTCTCAAACTCTTTTTGTTAATCTGTTCTTTGTTGTTGCTGCCTTACCTATCCTGACGTTGCTTTCTTGATCAAGCGATAGAATGTTATTCACTGTGGATTGCAAATACGCAGATCAGTAAAAATCTTTGAAAGAATCTGTCTCTAATACGCAAGATATCAGATATGTGGTAGACTATGAGAAGCCACATACATTTTCCTTCACCCTCTGGTCTCTTTCTTTATCCCACTGTGTTTAAAAAGAAAAAGAAAAAGGTCTCGGTACTAACTAGAGTGTCTATTACAAAAGCGTAAATAATTATACAGAAACGTTGATACTTATATAGAAACGTCCATACTTATACAGAAGTGTCCATAATTATACAGAAACGTTGATACTTACACAGAAACGTTGATACTTATACAGAAACTTTGATACTTATACAGAAACCTCCATACTTGTACAGAAACGTTGATACTTATACAGAAACTTTGATACTTATACAGAAACTTTGATACTTATACAGAAACGTTGATACTTATACAGAAACGTTGATACTTATACAGAAACGTTGATACTTACACAGAAACTTTGATACTTATACAGAAACGTCCATACTTGTACAGAAACGTTGATACTTATACAGAAACGTCCATACTTATACAGAAACGTTGATACTTATACAGAAACGTCCACACTTATACCTAAGTGTCCATACTTATACAGAAGTGTCCATACTTATACAGAAGTGTCTATACTTATACCTAAGTGTCCATACTTATACAGAAGTGTCCATACTTATACCTAAGTGTCCATACTTATACAGAAGTGTCCATACTTATACAGAAGTGTCCATACTTATACAGAAGTGTCAATACTAATACAGAAGTGTCCATACTTATACAGAAGTGTCAATACTTATACAGAAGTGTCCATACTTATTCGAATGCGTCGATACTTATACAGAAACGTCCATATTTATACAGTAGCGTTCAACCTTATAACACATCCTCCAACCAACCCTTGTTGTCTCTAGATTTCTTCTTACTTTTGGCTTCCATTGCAAAATTAGTCATATTCTTGTAGGCAAATCGGGCACGCGATTGAGGACGTGGTTGATATCACGCCGGCAGCCTTTGCTTTCAATGACTTTTATCGGATACGCCTCTTGTTGACCTCAGAATCAAAGTCAATATTTGAGGGAGCGAATATGATTGAATGCCATCTTTTAACTGTCATAATGACGTCACCGCATTCGTGTGCATCGTGATATGGCGTGCTTGACACTCTTGACATGCTTAACAATGTTGAAAGAGTACATCCAAGCCATAGTTATGTTTAGTATCTCACACTATCATTAGGGTTTTAATTTAAACTCCTATCGTGTAATTTGTTTAATGACTTCTACTTGCTTTATAAATATGGGACTATCTGTAGTATTTAGAAACATGAGTGGACTGACTGACTTTCTACCCCACTAGGACATCACACAAGCGATAAACACCCGATGACACAAAGTGCCACCATGTGGATGAGGATCACCGTGGAGAGGTCCCAGAAAACGCGTTCAGCCAATTGGCCATATTTATGGCCTGCCTTTATTGCGGCCCCTGGCAAAAGCCAGAGTGGGGCTTCAAATAACCGAAATTACGTCCTGAAAAGGACGTAGTGAATAAGTTTAGTACATGAGTGGGGAGAAATTAATCAGGTTGAACTGCGGTTATTTGCAGCAGTTGAAAATAATAAATTTGTGTTAGGTCGTAAATTTTTGGAAAAGTTCGTTTTTACACGCGTTATGTCTTCTGTCAGATTTAGTATTTGTTTTTGTCTAAAATAAGTTACTTAAATGCAATAATAAGGTTTTACTGATCTAGCTTTAGCTGTAAAATTATTTGTTTATTGAAAATTGTTGACATTGGCGATTTTTCGCCATTTGCAACGCTATTTAAAAAAGGAGACAACTGTATATATTATATACCGTTGTAATCGTAATTATGTCCCCTGCATTGTTTAGTGGGTTTCGGAATTGTGAAAGTTCACATTTCCGATTCATGACTGTTCCCGTACCAGAACATAAAAAACAAATAGTACACAATATTATTTTATGACGTTAGCATCGCTATATATATATATATTATATATATATATATATATATATATATATATATATATATATATATATATATATATATATATATATATAGGGCACACACACACACACACACAAACCCAACAAAATGAGGTTTCAAAAGTAAGAAGTTTATCTGCAACACAATTAAAAACTGTTCTACATTTTTCTACAATCCCTCCAGGATCAAGTGTGTCCAGAGTTTTCGACTACGAAGGACTATTCTCTAGCCAACTTCAGAAAATGAGGGACGAGCACACGTATCGAGTATTCAAGAAAGTGATGAGGGACGCCACGGCTTTCCCCTACGCCTACGAACACAGCACAGGCAAGGCAAAGGATATCACTGTATGGTGCAGCAACGATTACCTGGGGATGAGCTGGCACCCCAAGGTCAGACAAGCGGTCAGGTAAGCTCAGACTTTGTTGGACGTTTACATTTCTCTTGATTCAGCTCATTCATTCATTCATTCATTCATTCATTCATTCATTCATTCATTCATTCATTCATTCATTCATTCATTCATTCATTCATTCATTCATTGTCATGTTGTGCCATCATAAGTCACATGCGTCTCGTAGTCTGTTTCTTAATACCGTTCTATTCTTTGCAATCAGTTTAATAACATGGATGAAATCCAGTTTAGGACATGTGACTTTTCGCTTCAACGTTCGATTTAGGGTTTCTCTTCGACGTCCTCGTTTTATCAGTCCTTCTATTTCCCGTTGCTGAGCCTTTTTAGCGTTTATGCTTTCGTAATACCATTTAATATATTTATCTAAACTATAGTAGCTCTGAAGGTGTTTAATGTCCAAGAGGCGGATCTGGTCAAAGGTTGTTCACTTCCCAGTGCAAACGCTGTAAACTCCTATCGCGTCTGCATTACTAGCCTATGGGGTATTCACGTATTCAAAATTCCGACATAGCGTCCTTACCAGCACAAGCCATCCTAGCACATCAGTATAATATTCCGTGTAGCCATTACGGGTGCCGCAAAATAACTTTATAGAAGCTGCGAAGGTGATGGCAGTGACCAACGCATTAACATGGCTGGAGACACAGATCTTCACCCGGATATGCTTTCTCGGTGACTCAATGAGTTTCCCCAGGAAGATAGAGATGGACTGAGTCTGAAGACAATGGTTAGAGTCTCTGAAGCGGTCGGGGCCGGCGCATATCAGTTTCACATTCGTGCCACGTTATGCAAACATCATGTTATTGCTAGCCAGGAAACTAATTATGTCTTCCCTGATAGCACAAACACTCTAACAGAAAGCACTGGCTTACTCTTTCATTTTATGTAAGAATTATTTCCGATTTCCCGCCAAACTGACACCAATAACTGTCTCACAGAGAGGCCTTAGACAAGTATGGCGCCGGGGCTGGCGGTACTCGCAACATCTCGGGAAACTCTCCTCTACACGAGGCCCTGGAGAGTGAGCTAGCGAAGCTTCATCAGAAGGAGGCTGGACTGATCTTTTCGTCGTGCTACGTGGCCAATGATACAACATTATTCACTCTTGCGAAACAACTTCCTGGCAAGTATAAATGGTCATAGAGTTATTTGTTAAACAACAAACATGAATAATATTTTTCCTAAAAATCATTGTGATCATCACTGTCATACCAACAGAATTTTTTAAGGGCGAACATATAATCATGAACATCATCATCATCACCATCATCATCACGATCATCATCACCATCATCATCACGATCATCATCATCATCATCATCATCATCACCATCAATAACTTACTCTGATAAATTATTATGTCGCCTTTATCATCTAGCTTTATTACTAGCCCTAGACCACATCAATGTTTTTAATTTGATTATGTCACATGACCAAGCGATGGAAATATTTGCTCTTTGTCTTCTCTGTGTCGTTTTTGTTTTCCTCAGTTAGGTTTGGTAGTTATGACAAAAAGTTTGAGCATTTCATTTTTTTCAAAATACTTCCAACAGATCGTGATTAAGTCTGCCTTCTCGTATTCATTGTCTGTATGTACTGACTCAAGCTTTTCTTTCTGCTAAAAGATTTCCTTGCATCCTAATTGAAAAAAAAAAAATGCCTGCTGCCATTAGATGAGTCGGAGTTAAAAAGGAAGAGAGAGAGAGAGAGAGAGAGAGAGAGAGAGAGAGGAAGAGAGAGGAATTACTCTTCATGAGCAACATGTGTTCCCTGGAACACTGTCCAGTCTGAGTGCTATTGACAAAAGGAACATCATCATGAGTCTTAATTTTCCACAGCCATGGGTGGTGAAAATTATCCTTTCCTGGGGCTCATTATAAAGCTATCGTCTAGAAAGACTTTACATAATGTGGACACGAACAAAACATTTGACACATTAAAGTCAGGCATGTTTCATTGTACCTCGTCTGGTGCGTTATATTAACATATAATGAAGTACACAAAGTAAACTAATTCCACTAAATATACTTAGTCTCGTGACTTAGCAGGTTAACATCAAATTTATTACGAACTCCTTCTGTTTACATAAGGGGTATTTTTCATTTTTATTGTAAAATCTTCGGCTAGTCTCAGTAGTCGCCTGTTAGATGTGTGTTAAATACTATGTGACGGGCCGTTTTCCCCTAGCAGGACTGCATTTTTTCTCTGACGCTGGCAACCACGCCTCTATGATCCAGGGTATCAGAAACAGCATGGCTCCCAGGCACATCTTCCGTCACAATGACCCGGAACATCTAGAGGAGCTTCTCCAGCAAGTGGACCCGGCTCTGCCAAAGATTGTCGCCTTTGAGACAGTTCACTCCATGGACGGTTAGTGTCTACGTCCATGTTTTGTGTTGTCGATTGGTAGGTGTTTGAGTAAGGATAAATCATGACTATGTCTCCGTTTGAAGCAGACCCATAAAAATATATCAGTCGAAAAGAGAGGTTAAACTAGCCAACTTCACAATACATGTCTTCAGAAGTGGAAAGAAGAAGACAATAAAATTGTACCTCATTTATTTCAGTAAACTCATGTATCATTCCTTTTTTCTTAAGAGGTTCTAACTATTTTATCATAACTGAAATAAACGAATAATATTATAACAATGAATCAATCAGCGTATAACTAAAAAACGTCGCTCTCTTCACGACCCACCTGAAAGTCTCTCTTTCTTTAGCCAGTTCGCAACCCTGTTTGATTTTTTTATAGCCAACGAATCTTCCGTGTCCTGTATCCACCTTCGCAGTGGGCGACCACTACCTCGTTTTTTCGGAAACGGCAGCCGCCATCACCGTTTTCTCCAGACCACTATGGCGTTATGTCCCAAATACTTTAGCTTGCGGAAGAAGATTCTGTTTATGAGCAAGTTCTCCTTGATGTTCAGATCATGCAGGATGTCGACGTTTATACTGTTCTTCTTCTTGGCCCACGTTTTCTTGGAATTTGTGTGTAGCATTTCAGTTCCAAATACCGATTTTCGTTTCCAAAGACTGAATGAGAGTCCGTGACTAACATCCACGAGTTGCCACAGAAACTATACGTGATGTCAAACTTTACTCTTTAAGCTGCTTGCAGGCGCTATACAATATGTTCTTCGAGATGTTTAGCTTCTACATTGCTAAGACACGTCGTTTTCTGACTTCTTCTGTGGAGACGCAGTTGTTGTTCATTATATTTTCTTCGATCTCGATTTTAACACATTGTTTGAATGCTGTAATAATTTTTAACACTTTGCTGATTTTCTTTCTTTATTCGAAAACAAGGAATTTAAAAAATAAAATTGTAAGACATAAAACCTTTAAGTAGCGCTTTGAACAGGGTCAGATGGTGTAACAGCCGGATGGGAGATAGAGGGGAGGTCAACAAATCATGAGTGTTGAAATCATGTAACTTATAGTTAGTTCAAGGGCATTCAAAGAGTTAAATTTACCCCTAGAAATAGTAATACTTGTCTTTGGCCTTGATTTTTTCGATGAATTCTCCTGATAATTACATGTTACCTTTTTGGTAAATAATGCTACCCATAATGACAAATTACCTTTTTGTTCATAAATTCTCTGGATAATTACATGTTACCTTTTTGTTAATTATTCTCTTGATAATGACATGTTACCTTTTTTGTTAATGAATTCTCCCGATAATTACATGTTACCTTTTTGTTAATGAATTCTCCCGATAATGACATGTTACCTTTTTGTTAATGAATTCTCCCGATAATTACATGTTGCCTTTTTGTTAATGAATTCTACCCATAATTACATGTTACCTTTTTGTTAATGAATTATCCAGATAATTACATGTTACCTTTTTGGAAATGAATTCTACCCATAATGACATGTTACCTTTTTGTGTTCTTTCCAGGATCCATCTGTCCCACTGTCGAGATGTGTGACGTGGCCCACAAATATGGCGCCTTGACATTTGTGGACGAAGTCCATGCGGTAGGTCTATATGGTCATCATGGGGCAGGTGTGGGCGAGCAGGACAACTGTCTGGACAAAATGGACATCATTTCTGGTACTTTGGGTGAGTCTGCTTTAGTATATTACTCTATCTGTAGTTCCCTTTAGTATATTACTCTATCTGTTATGTTTAAAACGTACACTATATAAGATAATTTATAAAATGAGAGTAGAGATCGAGGCGGTCACTGAAATTCTCAGGTGGTTGTGTACGTCTGTTTAAGAAAGGCAATTAACAGCGTCCAGTTCTCTGTAAAGGTTTTCAGGGCACAGTCAGGTTCGTGGGTCAAGGCAACTGGAAAAGAAACAATAGTCCACACCAACTTAAAAGATATAGGCGAGACCAAATGGCATTATTTAGATACTAGATGTCAGTATCTAGAAACTAGATACCATTATTCAGATACCAGATATCCGTTTTTAGAAACTAGAAGCCATTAAATAGATACCAGATGTCAGTATTTAAAGAACAGATATCAATATTTAGATACCAGATGTCTATATTCAGAAACTAGATGTCATACATTAGATACCGGTGGTCAACATTTAGAGACCAGATGCCACTATTTAGATACCATATGTCCATATTTAAAAACTAGATGCCATAAATTAGATACCAGAAATCAGTATTTAGAGACTAGATGCCACTATTGAGATACCAGGTTTCCATATTTAGATGCTATAGATTAGATAAAAAATGCCAGTATTTTGAGACTGTGTGTCAGTATTTAGAGACTAGATGTAATTATTTATCTACCAGATGCCTCTAACTGGATATTAGATATCAGTATCTAAAGACCACATTCCAGTATATAGACATTCTCGCCGGTGATACGGAGGTGGTGCACTGGGCTGAGATTGTTCGGACTCAGGCTTGGGTTAGAAGTAGATGGGAGCACTTATAGGCTGCTACCCTTGTGTCATGATGTTCATTTGTTGTTTAAACCATAAAGCATTTTTAAACTCGATACCAGTATTTATATACCAGATATCAGTATTTAGTTTATAGAGGCCATTAACTAGATACCAAATATTAGTATTTAGTATATAGAGGCCATTAGCTAGATACCAGATATCAGTATTTAGTTTATAGAGGCCATTAACTAGATACCAGATATCAGTATTAGAGTTTATAGAGGCCAGTAACTAGATACCAGATATCAGTATTTTTTTTTATAGAGGTCATTAACTAGATACCAGATATCAGTATTTAGTTTATAGAGGCCATTAGCTGGATACCAGATATCAGTATTTAGAGACCAGATGTCAGCAGAGACCTGACGCCAGGATTTAGGGTTGATATTTCCACGTTTGTAAAACGTCTGTGTAGTTTCGCACCAGTAGTACATTATTTAAACATGCACAGACTTTTGGCCCTTTTTCGCTTTTACGCTAAACGAGTGTTTCCCAAACTTGGTCGTGGCACCCTTTTTCAATTAAACATTTGTCCACGGCGGCCTAACCTAAGTACAAGTATGACTGTTCGTGTCTTGGTTAAATTAATTATGAAGCTTTTACAACATTTCGAGGCGCCTCTGTGAAGAGGTTGCGGCTTTCCGGGACACCGCGGCGCACAGTTTGGGAATAGCTGCGATATACCAAATGCGGCGCAGACTGAATATTGAAAAGCAAAACGACGTAGCTCACTGTTGCCCTTCCCCTGTAGGACAACGTTAGGCTCCATT